TGGGAACAGGGGTTAAGGGGAGGGTGTCTGCTGGCCCCGAGGCAGCCCGCTCGTCGGGCTTCCCGGGCGGTACCCGGCGTCCAGCGGAGCAGCCGCATCGCCCGGGGTGAGCGCTCCTTATGTTGAGACATGCGGGCGCTCTTTTATTTTTTTCCCCTTCTGTTTATGTTGGGGTTTTTTTTTCTCTCTTTTTGCACCTCGTTCGACAACTTTCTGCAAATTTGCTTTATTGCTTTTGCCAGCTTCCCTCTGCTCAAGGGTTTAGGTAGTGCAGCTTGTAGGGAGAAGGTGCGCTTGTTGCAAAGTGCTGTCAAAAGTTTGTGCAAAGCGTCTGTTGGCCAACTAAGAGAGCATCCAGTTTTCTGAGGATGGGATTTCTTTCTCTTCTTTTTGGGACGATGGGTAAAAAGCTCAGAATTTCACTTTCTGAGCTTGTCTAAACCAGCTTTTTCCTGCTTCGACACAGTTGTATTTAATTAAATGTGCCTAATTTAAGCACAAGGGCTGCTAAACAATAGTCTGTAACGTGTAGCACAAGCCTGTATTTCCTCCCTCCGAAAGATGTCAAAGCAGGCAACTTTGAGAGCTTCCTTTCTGCTGGACGCTTATGATCTTTTTTTGGAGAACATGTAAAGCTGAGCTCTCAGCTCATGTGAGTAGCCGCTGCTGCTCTGCTGAAGTGTGATTTTGTTGAATTGCAGCAGTGGAGGACCTGCCTGTGGCCCAAGAACCTTGCTTTCAAAATGTACCCCCAAATAACCACTGTTGAGAGAACATTGAGTTTGGCTGGCAAAACACTTGGAACACGGATAATACTTCCCTTTCAAGGAGATGCACAATCCTAACTATTCTTGCTCGCTATCAGGGTATTTGCAAAAGATTTTTTTATTTTTATTTTTTTTACTAAATGATAATCTCCTGTTATCAAAGGATATAATACCATGAGATTCTTGCTTTCTGGCAGCTTCTCTGCTTTTTCATACAAGGTTTTTCACCTCCTCACTCTGTCCCAGCAAGTCTGCTTTAACAACATGTATATGGCAAAAGTCTTGTTCTCTCTTGCTTTGGACTTGCAAATCTGACTAGTTTGGGACAGTGTGAATAGTAGTAGCAAAGGAGCATCAGCATTGGTAGTTGCGTGCACTGGGTCTGTGTTAGAGAACATTTATGGTGCTCAGACTGCTTCGTTCACTCCATGGATTTGCAGTACAATTGCTATAAGATCATCAAGTCTGGGTCAGGTTTGAGCTCAGAACTCGAATTCCTTTTAATTGGCCAGAAAACACACTAGATTATTTTTGCCTTTTTGGTGCTAGCTGGAGGGGATAGAGGAGACCTGATCTGGCAGGAAGGCTGCTAGTATGAAGGTAACCTGTTGATGTTTTAGGAACAAACTTCAGCTTTAGTAGGTACCTGTCACTGTGTCAGTGGTGCAGTGGTGGTTTTGATCTGGGACTGAAGGCTCTAAAACCAGTTCTATGGCAGCAATGGCCTCAGGTGTTTCAGGGAAGGTCAGTTGAATAAAACCTTTGGGTTTTGTAGGGACTTCTAATTCTGGCTTCTTTACTCTCCATGACAATGTGTGAAGGTATGCATTTCTGGAGGGGTGTTTTTCTTCTGAGCTGTGCCTTTCTGAAGGTTCTCCATACCTGTAGTGACTTTGCACAGAAAGCTGAAATAGTACAATACTTGAAGTAGCTGTAGGAAAAGTTTTTATCAATTATACCTTGTAGATATCAAAGGTTTTGTGTATATCTAGACATCCATGTAAATTCTCAGTGGTATTTGTAGTTATAGCAAGACAATACTACAGAAAAATCCTTGTAAATATTTGTTAATTTTTGTGCAAACCCAGTATGTATTTTACTCAGTGTTGCCAGATGACTGAACTCTTAAATAACTTTCTCCCTTCCCAGGTAAGTGGGCTAACAGTTGGTTAAGATCAGAGCTGTAAATCTTTAGCATAAAGGTGAAACTTGGGAGAATTTTAAGCGTGTTTCATCCCCTTGGCCCCTCACCCCTCTTTTTTAAGGATAGGAGCTGTTGTAAAATGCTGCTTTTTCAAAAACTTGATTTGCAACTCTTCAGTGAAGAGAGTTGAACAAATATTTTGACGGCTTGTATACCTATAGCTTTGGCATTCTCCTAAGCCTTGATCTGTTGTTCACATCCTTCTAAGTTCTGAGTGCTTTTAATAAGGTGGAATGTTTTAGAAGGGCTTGATCCAAAGCTATGAATACCACTGGCAATTAGCTCATTAGTTCAGGAATAAAAATTAACTTGCGTGGTTTAGTCAGCGCTTTAATATGGTAAAACTGTCTGGAAAGCAAATCATGGATTCCTCCATGCTTACAGTCTTTGGCAGTAGGACAGCTGCTCCAGCAAGTGTAAGGGTGTTAAGAGTCTTGTGTGAAATATGATATTTGATACGTGAATTTAGACTTCCCCTTGCATAAATTTCTCAACTGTTTCTGCTGAATAGGTGTACAAATATCTCATCCTTAACTGTTAAACACGAGCCAGATTGTGTGCTGTTTTCTGCAGACTTGCAGAAGCTTTCAGGCTTCAGAGTTTTTGACCTGTTCTCATCTGCAAAGCAACATTCATTCTGATATCGTTGTGCAGACGAGTGTGTTAAGAGCAAATATTGGCATTCGGGGTGAGTGAGATGACTCCTCTGGAGTGGTATTGGATCCTGCATGTGTGTGGAGCAATGCTATCTGTTTCAGAGATCTACTGTAGGCATTTCTGTCACTTCATTACTGTAGTAAATTATCACCACTAAGGGAAAAAAAACCCCTGTTTCTATGACTGCAGTTAGGCAAGAGCTGTGATTAGGTCAGTAATGCCAGTAAGCAAATGGGGCTGGATGCCTTTTAGTTGGTGATAATATGGAAGGGTTGTAAGAGAAAATGGGAACAGAGATGGGTGTTTCTTTTCTCTTGTCTGTATCTTAAGTGGCACAGCTTGCTCTCTGCCTTTATTTTGCCATAAATTGGAGTACCTATGTTTGAACCAGGCTCTTCAGCAGTTTGCTGTAAACTGCTGCACCTTTTCACTCATGACCTGGGTAGCCTTCAAGGTTGTGGGTGCTATGAATGAATGCAGTGTGGATCATTAACTGAATAGGCAAGGGGAAAATTCTAAATGTTCTTTCCATAGAGAGCATGTCTGTACATGCCAGCATGTTCCCGAACAGTTTTTATTCAAGCTTTTTGTGCATGGGTTTACTGAAAGGAGCAGAACTGCAGCCTCTGTAATGAGAATCTCAAGTCTTCACACATCTAGAGGAAATGGAGGAGGAAAAAAAAAGAATCGCTTCTTATGCTGAACTCTCTCTGTGCTCAACATAATCCTCCTAATTTGGAAGGATATTAATGTCTTAAGTAGGTGGACACAATGATCAGAAATGTTGACATGGGAAAGGCTAATGTGGTCCTTCAGTATGACACATGCTGAGATAAGGATGCTTATTCCTGACATCTCATTTTGTACTAATCATTCTGTTGTGCTCTCAGCCTTGCTAATACCTGTTCTGCTTAGGGGGTATTAGTGTGGGTTGGGATCAGTCTGACACGGAATCAACAGGCAGGTCAGCATGAACATCTTGTAAAAGAGTGAGAACATGGACTGTGTGCAGGTCCTAGTGAAACTGCTCCTGAGCACCTCTGTGTATGCATTTATGAAGGTAGCCCAATGCTAACTTAAGAGCTATGTGAGACCTTGGGAATAGGTTTATTAGAGTGCAAGATGTTATGTGTCAATTAATCCAGCAGTTCATGTCATCATTTACCTGAATGTCTCCTTTTTACATCAGAGTTATGTCTACTCCTCATATTGGCTGCTACTTGTAGAGATTTTATTAATCTGATACTCAGCTGTCAACATAAAAAGCTCTTTCTTGACCTTTTTTGTTTTATTTTCCTGGTTTATTTTCATCTGGGAACCCAAGAACTCTTAAACAAATATAATTCCAGAAGGATGAATAATCTATTTTTGGTATATTTTTTCCTCATCAGGAAGACTGCTTTATTGAAAAGTAAATCCAATTTATGTTTTACAAACATAAATTAATTCTCAGAAATATTCTATTTTGCTAATGCTGTGTTCTTTTGTGTCCATTGCTGACATCTGAGAGGCAGAAGTTGCCTTATTACATTATACAGGCCAAATTCTTTCTTGTTTAGCTATTGTTTAGCACACTGTTTCTCCAGTGCTTATCTCCAGTGTGTTTACCTTGTTTAGCACACTGTTTCTCCAGATGCCATTTCTATTATCTCAGAGCATGAGAATCAAGTGCAGCTTGAGGCTAGGATTCTGTAAAATCTCCCGAAGTGAATGTGTGTGAATTCTTTGTTGCAGAGATGTCCTTGCACTGCCGATCTTCAAGCAGGAAGAACCTCAGCTGTCTCCTGAGAATGATGCCAAACTGCCACCCTTTCAGTACGTCCTCTGCACAGCCACATCACCTGCTGTGAAACTGCATGAAGAAACCCTAACCTATCTCAACCAAGGTAGGGTTTGCACTACACTGAAGGAGGGCATATTTCCTGGGAACAATTAATGAAAGATTTAATCTCATACTTATGCCTTACTGGGGGGCAGTGGGATGGAGAAAAAGAGGGATAGAGATGGGGAGGGGGATGGAGAAAAGGAGGAATATTTAGTTTTTCACATTTTATACTAGATTTTCAACTGTTTATAAAATAATGAAGTACCACTGATTTAACCATTTACTTAGACCAGCATTATAGCATGCACAGTTCCCTGTACTGTGCTTATCTCAGACAACCTAAACTGAAGCCTCCTACCTTGATCTTAAAAGGCCAGGTTAATTAAGCATATTGGCAAACTTTGGGTTGGGGAGGGCTCTTGACATTGCAAGTCTGCAGGTGCTGCTGGAGGGCATTTGAGTTGAGTATCCAAGGACTCCTTGGTGGTCTGGGCAGGGTGTGACATTGCTCCCACTGGCTGGGTGATGTGGCTGTGCTCAGTCCCTAACTTGTCAATTTTCTGAGGTTCAGTGCAGCAAAGTCCTCTATAAGTGACCTCATAAGCTAGTTTTCACTCCTGGATAAACAAGCACTATGTGTTTCCCTTGGTTTCCCCCCTACCTTTGGCAGAATTTGTGCGGATACATCTGTGGTTGGTGTTTGACTGTCACATTGCAGTACCTCTTGTGTGTGAGTCCTGGGAGAAATCAGACCTCTCTAGGCACAGGTTATGCTAAAACCTAACTATGCTTATTTTCTACCAAGTTGTAAACAAAGGCATTATTCTAGCAACAAGCTGAAGGCTGTCAGTCCTGTTACTGAGACCCTTTCCTGTTTCAGGACACTGCCCCAGCTCTTCAAGCTTTTTGTGCACTGAGCATGAAGCTCGCTTTGATGCTTCTCTGGCTAGGTTTCTGTCAATGCTTGTGCAAAGCAGAGCCATGACCTCCTTTGGACTCTGACCTCACGTGTGGCTGGCTGCTGGGTCTGTGCTGCTAGCTGGTAGATGCATGGAGCCCCCATAGAAAGATGGCCAAGTGCTGCAGGCTCTACTCAAGGAGCCGGATGTTTTCTGTTGCATAAGCTGGCACACCGCTGGTTCCCAGCATCAAAAGATGCTAGAGATGACTCTGTCCTCCCAGTTTATCCATCCAAATACAGCAGACCCCAGGAGGTGATATGGGGCACATCAAGGGTGAAACGGAGATAAATTTTTTGTCAAACACAAATCTTTCCTGTTTCAGAGTAAAAGATTTTCTGTTGTGAAAAGCAGTTGACGGCCAAACGTTTTAGCATACATAAGGCAGTGCCTGCTTTTTTTACTTACTTTTTAGGGCAAAAGTTAGACCACTTCTTACACAATACAGTGAGTAAAAAAACCCCAAACAAACAAAAAACAATAACAAAAATTGTTACTAGAGCAGTCTACATTTTCCTGTGCAAAGTAAGACTATTGCTGCCTTTGCAGATAGACCATGGTTTGTTAGGCTGTCTCCAGCTTACTGTCAAAAGGAGTTGTCTCCTGCTTCATCTGGACATGGTACTGACCTGTTTCCTTACCCAAGAACTGGTGGTCTGGCATCTTCTGCATCTGTCTTTCATCCCTCAAGGGGGAAAGTGGGATGTGTCCTTACAGAATGCATCCTGGAGAGCATGAGGCTGGACAGGCCTGGAGAAACAAAGATGGGATGAGTCTGGCAGGACCTGTGCAGTGGGGCAGAGTTGGGAAGGTGCTGGGGAAAGATGTGGGCGCTCCATAGTGTTGTTGGCTTGCCACAGTGGATGGAAACAGCACTTCTTCCTAGAGGATCTTTGGGGTGGTAAAAGGTGTTGCGGTTTCTGACAGTCAAATGGCTTGCTGCTTTCTGTTCCTCTTGGCAGGAGCTTTGCATCTGCCTGCTGCCTTCTCAGGAGCATCCTTACCTCATTTAATGTCCCAAGCAATTTGTTCTTCCTCCTTACACAAGATGCTCTGGGTTTCTTGGAAAACCTCTTGAAATTCAATGCTCTCTGTATATAGATGGATGCTGTTTGGTGGTGGTGGTGGTTTTTTTTGTATATGTGGTTGGCTCCCCCCGCCCCTGCCTCTTGAGCTCTTGCAATGTACCTAATTTAAAAGCCATTCTGCTCCACTCCAGCAGGTTACTCCAGAGTCCATACCATTGGCTGCACTCTTGCTCCCAGCACTGACCCTTTCTGGTAGCAAGGGTAGGCCTTGGCTGGACATTCATCTGACATGCAGTCTACCATGATACTAAGTCCCTTAGACCAAAATCCCTTGCCTGTGCTAGTTAGGCAAAAGGGGCTGGAGTCTAATTCCGTGTGGACATGAGCTGCTGTGGGAAGCTTGTGTTCACTGGGGAAGCTTGTTGGGTTCATTGAAGGTAACTGCAGATATGGGGAGAAAAGCATGCTGGATATGCCTTTCAACCAGCCGTGGTCAGAGCTGGGGAGTCTAATTTCTGTTGGTGGGATATTGGTGAGGACAGTGTTTGGGCTTAAAAATAGATGAGGATTTGTCTTGCAATTCCAGGACAAAGAATCAATTTGAATTGGCAGGTATCCTCTCATTTCACTTAGTGGTTTCTGTTTAGGAACTTCTACATAAAATGGTATTTAGTCTTTTTCATGACATCTATGTTAAAAGCAAGTTCCTCATGCATTGACCTTCTGGAATATAAAAAAAAAAAATAAATATGCGTGTCTCTTCAAAAGCAAAAATTAAAGTGCTTGAGTCCAGTTTTCTTCTCCTGTCAGCAACACTTGTCTATGGGAACCACTTGATTCTTGGGCTACATAGTTTGCCAGCAGGTACCTGTTGTGTAGGTGTTTTCCCATCCCTTCTACAAAACCAGAGGAGAGTGCTGTATATCTCTTTAGTTTGACCTGCTCCACACAAGCCAGGGAATCCCATGCAGGTGCTGCCACACTGGTCTTGTCCTGCCTGAGCTGAGTACATGTAAGTTAAAGGCCCTGACAGAAAATCGATCCCATTAACTGAATTAAGTTGTATGAGCCTGAGGGAGGTATGTGAAGGGGACCTCGAGACAGCCCAGGTCTCTGGAGGCAATACTCAAGACATGGCAGAAGAGCTGACCCCAGAGCACTGTGACCCAGCTGTAGTGCCATAGCCATCTCATGGATCCCTACACCTTATCACCTTATGCTGACTGTAAGCAAAGGGCCATTTCTTGCACCTTACCCTCTTTCTGTGCTTATCATGGTCTGGCCAAACATTGTTACATAAAACTTCTCTTCTTCCTTGTATGCTTGAGTTTTGTGGTGGATTACTCTAGCAAATGGGTAACTTCATTAATGGATGTCCCTCTACCCTGTCTGCTCTGCTGGAGAGCATCAGTCATAGCTGGCTCCTAGTAAGGCACATACAAAGACACAGTGGCTGTCCCAGCTTCAACAAAGCGATTCACATCCCATGTGGTTATTTATCCAAATTGTGAGGACTGGGTTTGGGGTTTGCTGCTTGCTGGGTGCCTCTGCCACTTGCTGTCCAAATGTTCCTTCCTGACTTGAGCTCTTCATCACTCATTAACTGACCACTGGTCACCATGAAGCACTTTGCTTCCTGCCCTGAAACATTCCACAGGTGACTGGTTCAATGGTGGTTGGCGTGTAGACCAGCTCAGGAGGTGGTCCATGTGCACAACTAGGTAGAAAAAACCTCGGGTCTGACAGAGCTATGGAGGGGGGAAAGCTGGAAGAACTGGGTAGCAAGTTTAAGGCCAAGTAGCATAGAAGAACCGGAGGAGAGAGTCAAATGACAACTAAAAGGGTTTCATATGGGCTACGAAGAAGGGCTGTCCAGTGGCTGTGTTTGTGTACAAATGTGAGAGGGCTTCAGGCTTGGGGAGCATAATGACTTCTCATGAGCCTTGCTTCTTGCTGGATAGGCCCAGAGAGATGGTCAGTGGCACTGAGGTGGAAGAGGTCTTTGTCCTGGGCTCTCCACAAGGGTCAAACAGGAAGCTGAGAAGACTCCTGAGCTAGAGATCAGTGTTTTCAGCAAGGGCAGGGGAAACATTTGTGCTGGAGCACAGGGGAGTGAGCTTAGCTGTTGTGTTAAGTTGACCTGGGGACATTCAGCAGCGGCAGGCTCCTAAGCTTGTCTGCTGCAGTTTGAAACCATGAGTGCTTGCTGGCTGCAGCTCTAGAACCAGCCTGTAAATGAAGTAACTAGAGTAAAATCCTTAGCTTGGTTTCCAAAGGCTGACTCATTACACTTGTCTTCCCTGATCTCTTCCCTGCCATGCCTTCCCACATTCCTTGGGAAACTTGGAGCCAGAGCCCTGCTAGCCCAAGTTCAACATGATCTTAGTTTGCTAATCCTTAGGGCAGTTCCTGCATTAAGTGATTTTTACTGAACCTCAGCAGAATTACTCATACGGCAGGACAAAGCATAGACCTATTGGTATGGTGTCTTAACATCACTCTGCCTTCAGTCCACAGAACTCGTAAAGGTGCTGTCCTCACATTAGGAGCTGCTGCTGGCATCGCTCCTCTGGTCAGGGATTGTATCTGTCAACAGCTACACTGTCCAGAACTCTGCAGCACAAACATCGCCTAACATTTTTGGAACTAGCCTGCCTTTTAGCACTATTTGAGTGTCTCCTGTGGATAGGGATTTTCAGACAATCAACCAGCAACCATGTTACAAACCACTGCTTTAGCAAGAGGGCTTGATGCAGTTGCATATTCCATGGTGTGCAGTCATATGGGGTGTGGTTTGACCATGGCTAGTTGAAACTAGTTTCAAATGTGGACAGAAATGGGAGCAATGAAGGTGGTTCCATAAACTGCTCCAGGAGGAATGTGGAGGAAACGAGAACTGTGCAGTAGATCTGAATGCTAATAAATGTGGGAAAACAAAATAATTCCTTTAACAAACAAATCAAAAAGCCAAAAAACACAAAAACCTGAAAGTCCCAAGGGAATCTGCTTGTAGTGCCAGAACCACATATGGACTGGGAGCTGTTCAAGCCATGATTTTGTTTCATGACCAGCAT